TAAACATACCGAGCTTGAGCTGCTGTACAAAGGATTGACAAAAAGGCATTAAAGTAATAAAAAAGGAATATTTCTATTATCTCAACCCCCCTTTCAATCTCAATATGGAACATCCTTTCTCAATGGAATCAGAGATGCAAATAAACTTAGAATAAATAACCTAAATATAACACATTTTGACAATATTTTAAGATTATCTGAAGTATTCTTTGAAGGTGCAAATAACCCAGAAATAGGAAGTAAACAATAACAAAAATATGCAATTTACACTTTAGTATTGATACCATGCCAAATTAGTATTGTATCCAGAAAGTGTTAAAACAATAAAAACAAACTTTGTGGTTTTAACGTTTAAAATGTGAATCATTTGGAGAGTAGCTGCAGTCATCAGGTAGAGGTTGTGTTTGATTGCTTTTAATCTGCATGCTAGGTGATGATGGCACCAGTAAAGAACCTGTGAGCACTGGAAAGCTGAACCAGGAGAACGAACACATCTATAATCTGTGGTGCTCTGGGCGCGTGTGCTGTGAAGGCATGCTGATTCAACTCAAGGTATCTGCACTCCGTGACATATTGTGGTTGTTATGCATCTTTCCCTGCTTGTGTTTTCTAAGTCTCCTGCTGGTTGTTGCAGTTCTTGAAGAGGCAGGATCTCCTGAACACCGTGACCAGGATGATGAGGCCTGCCTGTGACCAAGTGGTATGCATTTATCCTGCCGCAGATTTATTGAAAAGTTATCTCACTCTTTGAGCAATGGATTAGTCCTAATATTTGTGTTTTTGCATGTAGCAAATCAAAGTGACTCTTAATGATGAAGACATGGACACTTTTGTCTTTGCTGTGGGTTCCAAGAAGGCCATGGCTCGGCTGCAGAAGGAGATGCAGGACTTGGTAACTACCTTCCATGTGTTTTTACCAATGTTTATTTTGTTTTATAAATTATTTCTTTTGCGTCTATAAAAATACTATCTTCTATAAATTTAAACTTTTGGCGCTTTTTGACTTTTGCATCGACTAATTCATACTTTTTGCATTGTATAGAGTGAGTTCTGCAGCGACAAGCCGAAGTCTGGAGCAAAATATGGGCTTCCAGACTCCATGGCAATACTGAGTGAGATGGGTGAAGTCACGGATGGTGTGATGGATAACAAGGTAAAAGAGTCTTGCTTCTGCACCAGGCTTTTTTTCTATAAACAACATGAATCTACTGCTTTGAGTCGAATTTTAAAGTGCTGCTGTTTGGGTTGGCCTCTGGTATTTTTTTAGATGGTGCACTACATCACCAATCATGCTGACAAGATCGAGTCGATCCATTTCTCGGATCAGTTTTCTGGTCCAAAAGTTATGCAAGAGTGAGTATTTTATTTTTCTTTGCTTTTGTGACGGGTGGTTTTAATCGTTCTGCTGATGTTGTTTTTTGTGTGTTATTTAGGGAGGGTCAGCCATTAAAGCTGCCTGAGACCAAGAAGACACTACTGTTTACATTTAATGGTGACCTATTTGCTTTCCTGTTCTTTTTCAAACAAACACAATATACTAAATATTATAAGTAATTAGTTGTAATGAATGTTTCGCTTTATAGTGCCTGGCTATGGCAATACATCTCCCAAAGACATGGACTCTCTTCTCCCCCTCATGAACATGGTGATCTACAGCATTGATAAAGTCAAGAAGCTCCGTCTGAACAGAGAGGTGAGTGTTATTCAGATAGTAAGAAGCCTTAGTACTTCATTCATGGTAACCAGTTTTGACACTAACACAGATCAAAATTTCTGCTGACAATTGTCAGTTCTGTCTGTCTTGTTTTGTTTCTTTTTTGGGGAGCAAAGTGATCCTTTTAAATTCAAACCAACGAGATTTTCTCTGAAATAATAAAGGAGTCAAATTGAAATTACCATCAATCTAAAGGGGGGGTTACTTTGTTTATAGGAGGATCACATGTGCTTAAAATCAGCTAATTTTCTTGTTAGCTATTAGGGGTGTAAATCACACCCATCATGGCGATTCAATTCTGTATCAATTTTCTGACCCAACGATTCGATTATTTTCGATACTCAAGATTACACCATGAAATACGTCCACACAAATGACTTGAACCTGCAAGGGGTGTGCAAGTCATCTTTTTCCTCCGCCATGTCTGTCTTGCCTACTGTTTATACAGGTGTGTGTGTGTGCAAGAAAGATGGTAGCAGTAGCGAGGTAGGAGGGCAAAATAGGATTAGCGCCACCACAGCACGGGAGTCAGAAATTACGTCCAGGAGCAAATGGATAAAAATAGATCGGAGGGAAAAAAAGAATCGATGCTCTTGCGGACGTGTCGTTGCATTGGATCGTCGACCGTTTGATCGATGTATCGATACAAAACGATTATTATTTACACTCCTATTAGCTAATTGGGGAAAAAAACACCCAAAGCTATGGTTGCTAGTGAGCAGATGCAGAGAAAACTCTCTGCAGAAGGGTTTAAGTATAAACATAGATGTCACGCTTTGTTAATGTGTTAATTAGGTTTTTTTCTTCATAACTACTTGTAAACATAATAAAACCACTTGACCAATATTTTGTTGCTTTCAAATTTTAGATGATAGTTGTTATATAGCCTGTTTGTATGTTTAGGGAAAGCAAAAAGCTGACAGAAACCGTGCACGTGTGGAGGAGAACTTCTTGAAGCAGACCCACGCTCAGCGTCAGGAAGCAGCCCAGACACGCAGAGAGGAGAAGAAGAGAGCTGAGAAGGAGAGGATCATGAATGAAGAGGATCCTGAGAGACAACGCCGTCTGGAGGTCTGGAACATTCTTCAACTTTTAGCTTTGACTGGAATCTTAAAAAAAAGCACAGGCAAAATGTTTTGGTTCTTTTAGGATGTAGTGATGCAAGCTTTTTTTGTTCCCTCTTTTCTGTTTGCGATAACCGGAGTTATCATCACAAAGTCTAATAGCAAAGCTCCTGTTATTAATGATTGACTAACTAGTATTATTTTCTTTGTTTTTATTCAGGAAGCGGCACAGCGGCGTGAGCAGAAGAAGATTGAGAAGAAGCAAATGAAGATGAAGCAGATCAAAGTGAAAGCCATGTGAAAGACAAACAAGAGAAAAGCTTTCTAGCACATGGAAAATCAGTGCTTTGCTCAGTTTTCTTCTTCTTCATTCATTTAAACTCTACAATTTCAGCTCCATGGATACTAGACTTCTCCTGACAGACATATTGTCTCTCTGGTTGTGTCAGGCTTTGCTGTTTTTATCACGTAAAGACTGCATTATTATCAACAATGTGGACAAAACCTAAAAGCTGGGTTAACTCATTCAAATGAGTCTTTATTCATTATCAAATCAGGTTTTGATTTTTTTTGTTTTTCTTGTTTGAAATGCATAAAGCCTGATTGTTTTTAGACATAAGTCACTGGAAAGGAGGACACTATATGGTGAAAATATTCATGTATTGTTTTTAAAGGACTGAAAGCATTGTTGGGAATTCATTTGTAATATATTAGCATCATTGTCTCTAAATGCTAATGTCAAGGAAATGTTTAATATATTGATGAAATAGGTTTCCGTCTCGCTGTTTCTAATGATTATCTGAGCAAACAATAAATGCACTGAATTCTTTAAAAGTAATATTTTTGTGTTATGTATTTAGTTTTTTAAATAGAAATGTGAAACAATCTAAACCAGAGTAAGTTTTCATCACTCAACAAAAATGGGAAGGTTTTATGGTAAATCTGATGCGCTTGTCAGTAGTCTCACAGCTTTTGATTAAGCTGAAATGGAAATATTTGAATACAGTGCAAATCTTCGCTATTTATTGAAGAATCATTAGTTGTTTCTAACCCTAACCCATTCATGTCAGCTAAAACACAGCTTTTCTATGATATGTTTTATTTTGTCTTTTCCTAATGGTCTATGGATTTGGCCTTTTTTTTTATTTCTATAGCAACTTAAAAAAAAAGTTAAGAGAAGCCCTGCATTGCATTTCTAAAATTAACACAGTGTCATTGATCCCCTGCTTGCCAACAACTGTCACATAGCCTTTTAAAAAGCAACAGCAGACCCACGCTCAGCGTCCTCCACCATACTAAACAGTAGTCATTGGCTGTTTGCTTCTCATTTGTTTTTTTTTTATTTTTTTATATATATTATTTGAAATTGATCTCAAATTAGTGTTACCAAAACCTCAATTTCTGTCTCATATTAAAATTCATAATTAAAATTTGCATGAATGATGGTGGGATTTAATCTTAAACCACTGCTGTTGGAGACTTGATCTCAAGATGCCACTACCTTATAGGATACATTACATATTTTTACATGAAATATAAGTTGTACAAATTTTTAGATTGGGATTTGAATCCCCATGTAAATAATAAAATTTTTTTTCATAAAGAAAAAAATCCTATGTGAAATAACGTTACCGTTGTAAATAATTAACATAAATGGTAAAAGGCTTATACTTATATAAGCTTTCGTCAAGTCAGGAGACTTGACCAAAGCTCTTTACACTACATTCAGTCATTCACTCACACACTGAGGGTGCCAAGCTTCATCGTAGCCACAGCTGCCTAGGGATTCACTGGCAGACGCCAGGCTGCCATGCACTGGCGCCACTGGGCCCTCTGACCACCATCAGTAGTATTAAGTATATTTACCATTGAGCCAATCAATTTTTACTCCCTTTTTTTATGACAAGAGAACTAATAAAAATCTTATGAAACTGTGACAAAATCCTTCTACAGTGGGGCAGTTTTAAATGGCAATTATTTATTTGATGTCTTTATTGTCAAACATCACTGATCATTGTTCTCTGAGTAAAATAAACTGATATTAAGAAAATAGATTGAATACTTATATTAAATAGCTTTGGTTGATTTTAATCAAATTATTAACAAAAACTAGAAGCAATTATCTTAAAGCATTTCACAAGATAAAGAGACCCACTTCTTATTTATTTCGAATTCAACCCTGATTTTTTCAGTCTAATTTATAGAATAGAATAGAAAATCTCTTTATTATCCCACAATGCGGAAATTGTGGTGTTGCAGCAGAAAAAGATAATAGCAAAAGCAGTCACACAAATGTGGACCTTAAGAATTATTGTTGTGTAATTCCATCTAATACAATGTTGGCAGAATTAAACTTCTAAAGTAAACGGGAAGCTAAATACAAGAAGGGCAAGAGCAGACCATGCTTTTCAAATGAAGCTTAGGTCCTTCAGTGTTTGCAGCGAGCTGCTGTATATCTTCTATACATCTGTTGTGGAGAGTGTG